AATCACAATAACAGAGTCTTCAGGGGAAGCATTTTACTGTACACAGACACACCAACTGCGCGCTCGAATCACGGGGGCACGCTGCCCTAGGAGGTGAATCGCAGCCCTGCTGCACAGAATTGCTGACACTGTTTTCAATGAGTCTCTGCATCACCATGAATACTTTAACTCACTCCCTTTGACTTTACAAGAATAATTCTCTGTGTGTGTGTGTAGAACAACAGCTAGAACAGGGCTCCAGTCTCAAGTGGAGTCTCTAAATTGCATTTTCACAGAATAGTTTGGGTTGCAAGGGACCTTGAAACTCATCCAGTTCCAACCCCTGTCACAGGCAGGGACCCCTTCCACTGGAGCACCTTGCTCCAAGCCCCTGTGTCCAACCTGCCCTTGAACACTGCCAGGGATGGGGCAGCCACAGCTTCTCTGGGCACCCTGTGCCAGCGCCTCAGCACCCTCACAGGGAAGAGCTTCTGCCTAAGAGCTCATCTCAGTCTCCCCTCTGGCAGGTTAAAGCCATTCCCCTTGGCCTGTCCCTACAGGCCCTTGTCCCAAGCCCCTCTCCAGGTTTCCTGCAGCCCCTTCAGGCACTGGAGCTGCTCTAAGGTCTCCCTTAAGGAACCTCCTCTTCCCCAGGCTGAGCCAGCCCAGCTCTCTCAGCCTCTCAACTGTTTTGATGGAAGCATGTTAGGCTGACAATGTCCAACACCAGGCAAGTCTCTGGCTTTGACTACTGAGCTGGCACCAAATGGGAAGCTGGGCTGAGTCCACCTTGAGGCTTATGTGCCACCCACCATGAGCAGGGGTGACCCAGAAACCTTTGTTTGCAGAGCTATTAAAAAAAAAAAAAAGTTTCAGTTTTTGGTTGGTTTTGGAAATTTGATTTTGACAAGAAATTAAAGATGTTACATAACCATGTCATTAGAGCATCATTCTGAGAGACTGTTTACTTAAAATGATCCGTTTGGGTTAAGAACATCTGGGATATTCCCTCTGGCTGTGTACAGAATTCTCTTGACCAGTAAAAGGATGTTAACAGTGCTCTGGTTTTGCAGCTTATCTCTTTATGAACATATTTATGCTCTGGCATAAATTTGAAAGGAGCCAGAAGCCAAAGAACCCATCCTCAATGGTGCGCACCAAGCAGAGAGCAGGACGGTAACAATGCCAAACAAAACACATTTTGCAAGCTACCAACACTGACCACGCGCCGCCGAGTGCCGTGTTCTCATGCAGGCATGTCACAATGAGAAAACAACATCTCTACAAGGGTAAAACAAACAGCACCCAGAATTTCTGAAAGCATTCTTCCAAAACTATTGCACTGGATCCGATTGCCTCATCCACAGGCCCAAAGGCCATTTGCACTTTTTTTATGTAACAGATGAAAGGATTACAGAAAGCTTTCTGGGGCTGAATTTGGAACTAATGATGGGAAAATTCTTTTGTTAATCCCCCATCTCTCCCCACTGCTAGCAGACTACTGAGGCTGGAAAAAAAATGCTATCTCCTGGTAGCCTGCTTCTACTTTGCTCATCAGTGCAAAATATTACACTCAGGAGGTTTGGGAAGACCCATCAGCAAAGCCATAAGATCTAAAGGATGGAGCTACACTAAAAATCTGAGCAGAGAGTGAAATGAGACTTCAATTAAACCCTGGACACACTGCAACGAAATCAAAAGATGCATCTGCTCAGGGTGGGTCTCTGCAAAGCAGCCACCTCCACTGCACCCAGGCTTGCTTTAGGATCAGTGGGGAAAACCAGACTTTTCCAGGCCAAGCTGAAGGGATCACCCCTGGGCAGTCCTTGCTGGTGTTTGTGGATGCAGAGGGAGCTCGAAGAGATCAGCCAGCATCACAGAATCCCAGCCTGGTTTGTGTTGGAAGGGACCTTAAAGCTCCTCCAGCTCCAACCCCTGCCACAGGCAGGGACCCCTTCCACTGGAGCAGCTTGCTCCAAGCCCCTGTGTCCAACCTGGCCTTGAACACTGCCAGGGATGGGGCAGCCACAGCTTCTCTGGGCACCCTGTGCCAGCGCCTCAGCACCCTCACAGGGAAGAGCTTCTGCCTAAGAGCTCAGCTCAGTCTCCCCTCTGGCAGGTTAAAGCCATTCCCCTTGGCCTGTCCCTACATCCCTTGTCCCAAGCCCCTCTCCAGCTTTCCTGCAGCCCCTTCAGGCACTGGAGCTGCTCTCAGGTCTCCCCTTCAGGAGCCTTCTCTTCTCCAGGCTGACCCAGCCCAGCTCTCAGCCTGGCTCCAGAGCAGAGCTGCTCCAGCCCTCGCAGCAGCTCCGCGCCCTCTCAAAGCACTGCAAGGAGCTCAGTGAGGCTGGCGGCACTCAGCCTGCCCCAGGAGAGGGCCCAACCCCTCTGGGGAGCACAGCGGCTGCTGCGGCCGCCCCGCTGGCAGGACGCCCTCCTACAAATCTCCAGCGCTGCTCCCTGCCACTCTCCGTGAGCCCACCAGGGAAGTAAAAATAGATACCACCAAGTAACCGCACTTCTAAAAGCAGAGTTGAATCATTTTTCAGTCATTTAACAAACACAAAAGAATTTACATGTACCAACTCCGCTCGAGAAGTAAACTTTGCATAATTAATCGGGATGCCTCCAATAGTCGTTCATCTGTGAATACACAGCTACACCAACTGGCACTCAGGGGAAAATGCCTCAGGCCACCTCAGGGAGCAAATACCTCAACTGAGCAGGGAGTCTGAGCTGGCAGGGGAGGGGAAAAAGCAGGCCTGAGTATCAACCTGTCCGGAAAATCAGTACAGTTACCCAGCTCCCTAAAGCCTGTTTCATCAGCTATCAGACGTTATCAGCTACTTCTGAATTAAGCCATACTTTATCTTAACCCCAGAACAGGCTGAAGGCACCTAATTAGTCGCAGAAGGTGGGAACGTCCAAAGCAGGTCAGGGAAGTGGAAGTCAAGTGAACTGGTGAAATGGGGAATTCGATGGAAAATTTGACTCAAATAAAAATAACTATTGATGGAGTAGCTCATGAAGATGAACTTCCCCTCCTGCCCCCCAGCACAGACGATGCCATTTTATCTCTTAGCTCTAGGAAGGAAAGAGATTCCAAGAAAGGTGAAATTACAGGGCGGTTATCCTCATCAACAGTGACACGAGACTGGCAGAGTGCCTGAGAAACCACTGCAGATAGTTAAGCACAGGACCTAAAAGAAGATGTGCAAAGGAAAAATAGCCCCTGGAAAATATTGCTGGCATTTCAGCTTTTCCAGCTTGCCAGCGGCAACAGAACACCCAACCATATCCCCTTGTACCCACACATACAAAAAAAAGGGATTGCCTAAAGACAGAGAAAACATGGGAGTTCCACTTGCTCAGTGGTGATGAGCAATCTGGTCCCTTACCTAGAAGGGTCAGGCTAAATCCTCATCACTCCATACAGAGCAGGTTTCCACAGGAAGGTTTCCACCTTTTGAGAAAAGAGCGAGCTGCCTGTAGTTCAAAAAAGAGCTCACCTGAAAATATGAACAATTTTGCTCTGGGCTTTGTAACTATCTGTGAGCAAAACCAAACCAGCATTCTTTGTGTTATACGTAAAAAGGAGGGTTAAAGCGTTCCCAACTTCACAGGTGTCTCAAGGCTTTGGTGCTAGAAAAGGCTGGCACAGTCAGGCAGAAAGGCAATGGTACTACACATATTACCTTCAGGGTTCCAAAACCAGATGGATTTGGAGAACCTTCCCCTACTCCCAAGAGAGGGAAATGGGACACAGAGCATATATTTTCCTGATGAGAAACCAAGGTTTCATAGAGAATGAGTGAACACTCTCATGCTCCTCATCTGCTTTCTATTTAGAGCAAAAAAAAGCAATTAATAAAACTTTTTAATCAACAATTATTAGAAGACTTTTGAAACAAAGATTTCTAATTGAAAATGTCATTCCTCACACAAGGCAGAGGATCAAAATATGACAACACCACTAAGCACTTTCTCCCAGCTGCACAAACCATTTCTTAACCATCCTAAGACTAATAAACGAAGACATATTCTAGACATTTCCTATCCCTCCTGGACTTAGCCATGTATGCAAGGCAAACATGAGAAAGCTGTCTTCTTACTTTACTCTTAGTTGGAATGGAGCTCCCAAGTAGTACATCACATTACATGGTTGTTAACATGGGAACCCCCTCATTCTGAGCATGCAGAGAAATACAAGGGGAAAAAATACAGGTCCAGGAAGAAGCCGATTTAAGCATATCATTTATTGCCAAGTAAAAGGACATTTACCTTCTCAGTGGCTAAGTACAACACAACCCAAGGATAAACCATATGGCTCAAGCCTTTGTGCAAGGGAGAAAGCTGGCAGGACTTCAAGGCTCTAATTGAACTATTACCATATTGTAGGGAATGAAAAGTCAGAAGACAGGAGGATCTGCTCTCCTAGGGCCAGTTTATGTCATGCGAACAATTAAGTGGGTAACAAAACAAAGTGAACAGGAGAGCAACTCCACCATTTGGATACTGGCTTGTTTTAAAGAGAACAGGTACTGTTCTAGTTCAATATTGCATTTAATTTGATCCTACATTCAACACCATGAAACCTTTCAAATCCAAATCCTTTCCAGCAAACAACACTTCCTCAATCACTAGCTCAAGACTCTTTCATTTCATTAATAAGAAAAGACATGGAGTAAAGAAAGATCAAGTGAAACCCAGCAACGCACAAAAAAACATCAAAACTGTCTTAAAACTGAAAATTGAAAAAATTGAGGACAGAAGTTTTGTATTTTGCACAAATAATCACCAATCTTTTCTTTCAAAGGTAGGCTTGATAAAAATATTCCAAGTGTTAGCCATCGCACATGCACAACAGGTATGTGGTGAAACACAATAAACCCGCCAGGTCATGAACACATAGAATCTGTAGTGGCCGTTTATACTGTCCTGTTACTTTGTGGGCAAAAAGCAGTGCAGTTGTATCAATCACAACGTTAACATGAAAATGAGTCTCTGAATCTTGTTCTTACCATTCTGCTCATCCAGCTCATTCCCAATTTCCTGCCCCATTTGCTTTTGCCGAGATATGATTGAAGAAAGGGCATCGAGTCCAGCATCTTGCTCTGCACCACAAAAAGAAAATGACATGAAAAACATTGCTGATATGCTAGGATATGTACCATAAAAATGAAGGGAAAGATCTAGTCTGTGCTTAAAGAGTTAAAATGGATTGAGAAAAATACATCAACACAACATGAAAATGAATCCTTATAGCAACAGCACTCAATGTGAATGATGGGTAATTAATTCGTCTGCTCTGGCTGGGACATTTAGCTGAGGGTCCCCCCAACAAAAAAAATTCAGCATTCAGCTGTTACTCAATCCTAAATGCAGGAGATTTTCTGGCACACGCATAGAGATCCCTGATTAGCCTTTTTCAATTTTCCAGGAAACTTTTAACAAGAATAAAAGACAAACAGGTGATGCAAACACCAAAGAATTCAAATAGATTCTTAAGGCTGCAAGAGGATACAGAGTGCATGGAAGAGAGCCTGAGACACAGGGGCACAGGGGCAGCTGAAGTTCCATGTGGTACCACCACCTCTGCAGACACTCCTTTATAAGCACCTCTGCTGCCCCAGATGGCAGGTTCCACACAGCCCTTAGGACAAGGGGAGCTGCAGGTTTTGCACTAAGCTGTCAAGAAGCGGGACAGGAAGAGCTGCTGGAGGCTGGACTGCTCTGACAAACTGCAGAGCAGAAAAGCTGTACAGAGCAAGACTGCAGGCTGGGAGCCAAAAACTGTGCAGGGTGGCCAGAGCACCCTTCCCTACAATGGAATACCCATGGGGTAGTCAAAAACTGGAGCCTGACGTTTCTCCCAGACCATGCTGCTCTCCTGAACTGTAGCTATAAATGTGGTTTCACATGCAGACTGAAGTGGGCCTTATCTGGAGACTGATTTCACTGATCACTTCCAAGAATTTAACTCCATAGAAATCACCTCATTAACCATCTCACGTCCTTGAGGTGAGGTTTTCCAGCACTTCCAAAGTTACACATTCCTTACAGATGCTAAGGGCCAAAACCTAACAGCCCTTTTTAGATTAGTTAATTCCTACCTTTCTCCAATTCAACAAGACACATAGCATCTCCTAGCCTGAAGCCCAGCAGTAACGACACCACACTCAGGGCAATTAATGAGACCTCCACTGAAAAGCAAACCCATGAACATGGTCAAAGTCAGGGATGCCCCATAAGATCTTTCAAAACTTGATTTACAAAGATGCTTTCAGTTAAGAATATTCACAGAACCCTAGACTGATTTGGGTTGGAAGAGACCTTAAAGCTCCTCCAGCTCCAACCCCTGCCACAGGCAGGGACACCTTCCACTGGAGCAGCTTGCTCCAAGCCCCTGTGTCCAGCCTGGCCTTGAACACTGCCAGGGATGGGGCAGCCACAGCTTCTCTGGGCACCCTGTGCCAGCGCCTCAGCACCCTCACAGAACTTCTGCCTATTATTTCAAGTGCAATTCTGCTCCTGCAAATACAGAAAATAACCACCTGGAACGATGATGTTTGACATCTGTAGATAATAACATTTCAGCACCGGTTATTGTATTGACTTTCTAAGAAGGGCTCCTCTCAGAGAGGTAGTGATGCTTATAAAAAACAGAAAGACTCTTGTACCTTCTATGATCCTTCGCTGCTGCTGCCTGAGATCGTCACAGCCAAGCCCTCTGGTTTCCTCAGATTCTTCCAAGAGCCATGGGTTAGTGACACCTCGTTTGACCCCTCCCGTCATTAGGCTCGATCTGAAAATAACGTCAGTAAATAATTTTCAACACAAACTCATCACATAATCTGTGCTGTAAGACTTGCTGACAGAGGCAGAAGCAGAGGTATTTGTTGCACTCCACGTGATTCTCTGCAATCACAGAAAAAATGAGACCAAAAGAATCTGACAATCTCCAATACCAATGCGCCCTGCAGGCTACATAATGATGCCTTAGGAGAGGTAAAGCAGGAAGAGAATTAATTTTGCAGTGAAAAATTAAGCTACATGGTAAAATATACACTATACATTGTTTAATATACCCATAATAAATATTGTTTGCACCTAGAACAGACAGCATTCAAAACTGCTAAATAGCATTAGGGTTCCTGAGAATACACATATTATTAAGGTTATGTGCTGTGATAAAAACATAGGTAAAAACATAAGTAAAAAACATCTCTTCATAGGAACACCTCTGCTATGGAGAGAGCCTGGAGAAGAGTCCTTAAGGGGAGACCGTAGAGCAGCTCCAGTGCCTAAAAGGGCTACAGGAAACCTAGAGAGGGGCTTGGGACAAGGGCCTGTAGGGACAGGCCAAGGGGAATGGCTTTAACCTGCCAGAGGGGAGACTGAGATGAGCTCTTAGGCAGAAACTCTTCCCTGTGAGGGTGCTGAGGCACTGGCACAGGGTGCCCAGAGAAGCTGTGGCTGCCCCATCCCTGGCAGTGTTCAAGGGCAGGTTGGACACAGGGGCTTGGAGCAAGCTGCTCTAGTGGAAGGGGTCCCTGCCCGTGGCAGGGGTTGGAACTGAGTGAGCTTTAAGGCCCCTTCCAACCCAAACCAGTCTGGGATTATATGAAACCACAGACTTACCAAAACACTGAGGTACAGCCTGAAAGCTTTCAACTGCAAAAGGATCAATATGTTAATACAGATGCAAATCAGGTAAAACTACACATTTAATGCAATCCTGACCAAACCTAAGAAAGGAACATTTCTGCAACTCCAAATCTGCAGATGGACATCACACAGCTACTCTCCTGCACTTCCAGCCTGGCAGCAACACAAACAGGCACTCACTCTTAAATGAGCGGTCAGGTAGTCAGTCTTACATGAGAGAATAATCAAGTTATGGAGTTTGTTTTAAGAGTCATGACTTGTGCTGTCAGACACTTCCCTGGCTATAGCAGAAAACAAGTTTTTCACGTCCAGGGCACATAAATTCAAGTAGCCAAATGAAATGACAAATATTTCTCTCAATACCAGATTTCTGGTTTCTGCCTTTCAGCTTTTCATTGGATTCTCCTACAAGAAGAACATCAGATGATGGATTCTGTGGCAATTGAACCCAAAACTGCAACTCGGATGTGGGGTAGGAGTCACTGTACAATCAGTTCCTCAACAGCAGGAAACAAGGAAAAGGTTTGTCTTTCTGCTTGGCTTTTCTTAAGCCCTGTATTTTAGTCTCATTTTACCTTTGCCCTGTTCACTTCCACAAACCAAGCAAGGAGCATTTTTAGGATCTCTCAAATTCTCCAAATGTTTTAATTACACTAAGACTTTTTTTTTTTTTTTACTTTTTTTTTTTTGGTAATTTTGGTTTGGTTTCTGGTTTTGTGGTGGATTGGAGGGGGGCATGGGTAGCGTGGTTTCTTGGGGTTTGGGGGAGAAGGGGTTTATTCCATTTTGTTTTCTTCACACTGAGTCCAGGTCCCTTCTCCATGAGATAGACAGAAGCACTGCACAGCACACACACATATTCCCAGAATCCCACTGTGGTCCAAACCCTGTACTAGAAAAAGTGAACACCGCACAAGTGTCAGTGGAAGAGCTGATGCAGCCTGCTGATATCCAGAGGGATGACTGCAGGCTTACAGCCAAATCCAGAACTTGGGTCTAGGAGTTCTTTGAGGAATTACGGTGAACTAGAGACATCTCCTGGCCATGAGGGGATCAACACTGTTGAAAAATAATTCATCACCACAGGAGTTTTGGGCCATCCATAAATTACAGGCATGTACGCCCTCATCTGTGTGCAGCACACCACACAGGTCACACTGCAGCCCCAGACAGATCCATTCAAGAACGCTCAACCTCTCCCCACTTAAAACTTTAAGATGTTCATTCAACATCACCTCGAGGTAATGGATTTACCTGAATCAAAAAAACAAAAAAGGAATCCCAGAAGCCCAGGGCGGAAGGACCTCAAGAATCATCTGGTTCAACCTTTCCTGGCAAAACATGACCTAGGCTAGATGTCCCAGCACCCTGTCCAGCTGAATCTTAGAAGTGTTCAATGCTGGGGTGTCCACCACTTCCCCATGGGGATTATTCCAATGGCTGATCGTTCTCTTTGTGAAAACTTTTCCTCCTGTGTTCAGCTGGAATGTCCCCAGGAGTAACTTGTGCCCATCACCCCTCTTTTCCACATCACTCCCTGGAAAACAGGAGTCTCCATCTGCTCTGTAGCCACTCTTTAAATACTGAACATGGTGATGAGGTCTTCCCCGAGCCTTCTTTTTTCTGAGGCTGAACAAGCCCAGCTCTCTCAGCCTTTCCTCATACAGCTTCCCAGTCTTTGGATCATCTCTGTGGCCCTTCTCTGCATCCTTTCCAGCCTGTCAACATCATTTTTTGGAGAGCAGGAACACAGTATTCCAGATGTGGCCTCACAAGTAGAGAGTAGGAATTTTTTTTTTTTTTTCTTTTGTTACAGGACTAAAAAGTGCTTATTTTAAGTCACAACACCTCACTTAAGTACCCTCATAGGGCTGGAACAGCCCTGTGGAGCAGAATCCAGGCTGTGCCAGCAACCAGGTGGCCTCCAAGGGCAACACCCAGAAGAGGAGCTGGGATTCTTCATATTCCAGTCCCCGGCACCTCCATTAAAACTTACGTATTTATCGACACAGGGAGTCAGGCTTGATTAGACAGATACACACCCCTGAAATGCAGCTTTACACCTCACCTAGCTTTCTTCATTGGTCTGGGGGACTAAACACATATTTTCCAGTCACGTGACAACTTCTACCAGGTTCACAGATAAAGCAGAGGGCACATGAAGCTCTTTGCTTGCTGAAGAGAGCACAACCATTTCTGCCTGTTAAAGAAAAAAGCCAAGGCAAGCAAAATGGAAATAATTTGCACCACTCGCTCTCTCCCTCCCCCCAGTAACCTGCCCTATTCCTGTAGGCTGGGTCATGACAACTAGTCTGCTTGTTACAATAATCTTTTTGACATGTTTGGTAACTACCTTCCCACACAACACAGCAGAACTTCCTACCTCCTCTGATCTTACCACGTCTTGCTTTGGTGGTGTGAAGATTAAAGCTTATCCAATTAGCCACCCACTGCCTCCGCCAAGTTAATCACATAAATCTTTGAAAGCGCCACAGAGCAGTGGAGTGTGCAGATAGCTTTTGATTATAGGAGCAGATTTAACTAATTACGAGGCTCAGCAATGCACCCAAGTATAAAAGATGATGGGGTTTTAAATCAGGGAGCTATGTCACTGCTGAACAAGGGAGGGCTTATCTTCCCAGAGGCATTGTTTCACTGATAATTCTTATAAAACTTCCCAAGTAACTTAGATTAGTCAACCAGCACTTACTTTAGACCAAGGCCACACATCAAGGCTTATGGCTTTAGAAGACTGATCAGCAAGACTGAATTTTAAACAAAACCTAGGTCATATGACAATTGGTTGGATGATCACTTGAACATTCCCTTAATGATACAGTTATACAGGGGGGCTCTTTGAAGTGTCCAGGGCACCCCAGCTTGGCTTCACAGGTCAGTCTCCAAGGCGATGGCAAAGAAGCAGGGGGATTCTCTCACGATTCAATTGCTCACACTGGCAGGCAGTGGACTTTAGGAAGCTCCAAACTAGCAAATAAAATAAGAAAAACTTTAACTCACAAAACAAAAGTTCTCTCCCCCTCCAAAAAAAAAACTAGGAGAAGCCATTTGAGCGCAAGCACTTCCAAATCCCCTCTAGGTATCTTCCCAGGTAGAGGCTCCCGCTGGAAGCCTGCAGAAGGGGCAGCATTCCCTGCAGCTGGCAGAGGACTTCTTTGGCTTCCCCCAAATAAGAACTGGTGTTCTAATGCTCAAGGAAATGCCATGTTCCTCTTGATACCATTTACTACGGGTCCCAGTGGCATCAAAGACTGGAAGCTGCACAAGCCAGCTCCACACGAGATGCTAGGCAGTGATGTGCAGGACACAGTGACCTCAGTGTGGCCAGCAGACCAATGAAGTGACAATCCTGTACTGGGCACTGGTGAGGCCGCACCTCGAATCCTGGGTTCAGCTCTGGGCCCCTCACTGCAAGAGAGACATTGAGGTGCTGGAGTGGGGCCAGAGAAGGGAATGGAGCTGGTGCAGGGCCTGGAGCACAGGGGTGATGGGGAACGGCTGAGGGACCTGGGGGGTTCAGTCTGGAGAAGAGAAGGCTCAGGGGGGACCTGATGGCTCCCTACAAGTGCCTGAGAGGAGGATGGAGCCAGGAGGGGCTGGGCTCTGCTCCCAAGGAGCAAGGGATGGGACAAGAGGAAACGGCCTCAAGCTGCACCAGGGCAGGTTTGGATGGAGCTGAGGAACAATTCCTGCCCCAGAGGGTGCTCAGGCATTGGAACAGGCTGCCCAGGGCAGGGCTGCAGTCACCATCCCTGCAAGTGCTCACACACCATGTAGATGAGGCCTCAGTGCTATGGGTTAGTGGTGGCCTTGGCACTGCTGGGAGACAGGCTGATGATCTCACAGGTCTTTTCCAAAACAGCTGATTCTATAACTCTGTGCCTTCACAGCACCTCCAGGACCACTACTTCTTGCCCACAACACAGGCACAGCAGCTTTGCACCACAGAACAAGGGGCTTCCAACCACCTCATGCTTGTACAGGACAGCAGGCATCTGCAGAGGAGCAGGACAAGGCAAGCTACAAGCTGGAAGTGTTTGCACCATTGTACAGGCACGCATCCTGGAATAACATGTCTGCTCGAAATGCTGGGTATCTTGTGGTAAGAAGCTACACAGAGGAGTTACCCCTACACCCGGGTAAGCATCCCCAGGGAAGGTCACCTTTGTAACACAGGTCTTATTTCACAGCAGTTTCGCTTTCCTGAGCAAACCCTCAAAATGCACATTGCAATGAACATTTCCATCAGAGATTAATCTTGCTACAAAACAACCATCTTCTTTCTACACCATCCCTTATTTTCTGTGCAAGATTAGACATAGCACAATACTAAAAACATCACAGAACAGCTTATATAGTCTTCATTAAAACATTCTTACTCCTACAGCCCACTTGCACTCTTCAGGAATTAGAGAATTGTAAGAAAGAAGAATGCTTTTAGAATCATAGAACAGTTTGGGTTGGAAGGGACCTTAAAGCATGGTGTGAAATCAATGGGGATTTCTGCCCCATTCTTCCTCCATCTGTTACAATAACCTGCACAGATCTCTTTCAAAGGAGAGAAAAGAGGAGAAGATACTGAAGTTGCCTATTGAAAACTAATTACAGAAAATTTAACTGACCCTACTCAAGCGAAGCCACGGAAACAGCACAACCTTTCCCCTGGAAAATTCCAGTTGCATCTTAATTAAGGCCGACAACGCCGGAAGGTGAACTAAAGCTATAGCAAAGTAATGTAGCGTCCTGCCCTGTGTTCTAGCCCAAGTTGTCAGTTAGGATAAATACTAAGAGCATTAAGGCCACTGTACTTCACAATCAGAAATAGCTTTACAGCAGTTTTCAAAGGATGTAAAACTCACTGAATGGTGACCAAATATAAACGAAGATTAATTCTAGTGAAACCCTCACAGCTATAGGCCATGGGGACAATAAATATGTGATCAGTGGTGCAAGAAGGTTAATGAAAGCAAGGACTGCTGGAAGGAAAAAGACTTCCGAAAATGTGTGCTGTCACATCAGAGCTGGATTAGATATAGAAAGCCAATACAAAACCAGAGAGAAGTGTCACTGCTAGAACTTAATCAAACAACATGCGCTGATTTTTCTAATGCAGTGGGAAAAGCTGGCTTTCAGACTTCAGACACATGGAAGAGTGGCCTTTGCCACTGACTGAAATCCAAAGCAGGCTGTTCCAGAGGTCTGCATCAATTCTAGAGAAAACCAGCACTGTAAATAGCAGCTTAAACCTATCAGAAGCTGCTGCCTTCTGTCCCTGCAAGCAGTGGGGCAGGCAGGCAGACGAGCTCCATCCCCACACACCCATGTGGGCCAGGGTCAGGCTAGGCAGGTCTGACCCACTGGCACAGGATTCAGGTGCTGGTTATGTCTCTGCCTGTACCACTACAAACAAGACCTACAAGGGAGAATATGGAAGGGGTGTGAATTCACCAGCCAGAGAATATTTGGCATAGTTTTATCCATTTTTAATTAAAGAAGTTCAAAGAGAACTACAAAACTTCAAGCCTTGCAACACCAGCAAATAAATACTGTCTCTGATGTTATCCAGTGCTGGAAAATGCTGGTTTTCCTGGTCATTTCTAACAAAGCTTGAAATTACCACAAGGTTTTGGACACCTGCCTTGACACCAAAGCAGCTCTAGGTCGACTCCTCACCCTCTGTCTGCCCCACAGCAGCAACACGCCAATGCCACACAGCCTCAGCCAGGAAGGCCACGCTACAGAAGGTCACATCCGTTTATGGACTGCTCAGAGCAGGAGTCTCACAAGAGCTTTCTCACATCATGAGTCCCTAATGACATTTTGCCTAATGCTATTTCACATGTTTTGGTTGACTCTGTGATAGGTGTAAGAGCCAGAATCAACCCATCACATGGACTTGCGCTGCACCCTGAAAAATCATGGAATGGTTTGTGTTGGAAGGGACCTTAAAGCTCATCCAGTCCCAACGCCCTGCCACGGGCAGGGACACCTTCCACTAGAGCAGCTTGCTCCAAGCCTCGTCCAACCTGGCCATCCCTCGCAGCACCTCCATGGTCTCCTCTGCACTCGCTCCAACAGCTCCATGTCCCTCTTGTGCTATTGCCCCAGAGACAGGGCTGCAGGGAGGGGTCTTCCCAGAATGCAGTAGATGGGCAGAATCCCCTCCCTGAGTTCAAAACACACAAAGTTTTGTTTTGTTCTAAAGAGAGCTATGAGAGCTGACATACTCCAGAAAGGTGAGAAACTTTCTCAGGAGGGCTCTAACACTTACCCTCCCACAAATAACCTTCCATGCGTTTCAAATCCAGCACTCTGAACCTGGTCCAGAACAGGTCCAGTGAATGAAGTGCTTTAGAAAATGCCTCCCACTTAGAAGCACAAGCTAAAAATTTGCAAAACGATGTATTTCTGTCACATGGCCCTGCTGCAGAAGAACAGTTGCTCTCTTCAGAGGCAGAGCTCACTGTAGCACAGGGCAGCAGAGGTGAGGAAGGTCTGCTCAGCCACATTGTGTGACCCAGACCACACACACAGCACCATGCAGGGCACACAGGGCAGAGCACAGCCCCTTGCAAGACCCACAGCCAGACTAAAACCTCTGCATCCTGCATCAAAGCTTCCCCCACATCAATAAAATAGGTGCCTGGGCCCAACATCTGCGATTCATACAAGGCTTACAAGAACATATACTGACATTTTTTAAAATATGAGGCTTTAAACTGAAGATTTACCAGTTACAGCCAACACTCAAGAGTTATTTCATTGACCATGGAAGTAGAGCAAGCTCTGCAAACTCAGAGACATAGCTCCACTTCTCTTCTGCACCTGCTTGTACAAGTCCAGAGGAGGTCAAAGATGCTGCAAGGGCTGGAGCAGCTCTGCTCTGGAGCCAGGCTGAGAGAGCTGGGCTGGGGCAGCCTGGAGAAGAGAAGGCTCCTGAAGGGGAGACCTGAGAGCAGCTTCCAGTGCCTAAAGGGGCTACAAGAAACCTGAGGAGGGGCTTTGGACAAGGGCTTGTAGGGACAGGCCAAGGGGAATGGCTTTAACCTGCCAGAGGGGAGACTGAGATGAGCTCTTAGGCAGAAGCTCTTCCCTGTGAGGGTGCTGAGGCGCTGGCACAGGGTGCCCAGAGAAGATGTGGCTGCCCCATCCCTGGCAGTGTTCAAGGGGCTTGGAGCAAGCTGCTCTAGTGGAAGGTGTCCCTAAACTAGATGAGGGGGTTGGAACTGGATAGACTTTAAGGTCCCTTCCAACCCAAACCACTCTGTGATTTTGTGGTACAATACCATCACCAAAAAAACCCATGTGACTTCTAAGCAAATGAAACCACAGCTTGCTACATGTACATGAGCTCAATAGATGCATTTATCATTCTGCTCAGCCACACTCAAAGCACAATCACATTGCTCACTTGAGGCAACAGTGCTGTACCTTATCACATCTGGTTCTGTGCCTTCATTCTTGTAAGATGCCTGAAGTTGTTTCTGTCGTGTGAGAAGATCATCCACCAAATTCTGCCTCCTGTCCCCTTCCAGCTGTGTGCTGAGGATACTTGGTTAAGGACCAAACTTAAAAACACTTAAAAAATGCATTATATAAAATACTGTTATACATTCTTAAAATAAATCAGACCTCCTGATCATCAGAATTAACTACAGTAACTATTTTAACCCAAAAAAAGGCTGCAACATCTAAGAGAAGGCCAGGTCATATTTTTCTGAACAAAATCTGGAGTTATTCTAAATGTGTTTCTGGTTTACATATCTCAAAGAAGAAGTTTCGTGCAGAATCACAGAGTGATTTTCAGGCCACCACCTCAAAGTAATGAGAGACCAGGAAGGCTATTTGTTGCTATATTAGCATGAGGATTATGAACTTTCCCCCTCCAAAATCCAACATAATTTTTCTTTCATTTAGCATAACGCAGTCGATCTCTTCTATAACACTGACAATGTGTAACAGTGCTGCATCAATTAAGCTCGTGGGAGGACGAGTCTTAAAAGAGCTCAAACTTACACTATGATCATATCAAGAGGGCAGGGCCAAACAGAACAGAGCTTTTAAAGTCAGGAGGGTATTCACATCTTATTTCACTGGAGGCTCAATACACAGACCAGGTGAGCAGCTCCCAGCCAAGTGCTCAGTAAACAAAACTTTACTGTTGTATGTTTCCATTTGAAATTCATCATCAGGACACCCGAAAGGCCACTAACACAGCAGAAAAACTATCCATGCTGTACCTCTGAAAGACAAGATGCCCTGAAGTGCTGCAGCTTCCACAGGGGACTTGTGTTTGCTTAAGTAATCTTAGTGACATTTTGAAGAACTCTCTTCCAAGTACTGTTGAATAGATTATGTAATAGCTGAACTGATTTCTGTCTTTTTTCTGCCACAACATTTGTCTGCTTGAGAGCATTCCCTGGACAGGAAAGTTTTACCCCTAGCCATCAGCACAGCTCTCAGGTGCCTGCGCTCAAAAGGGATTTCTGCTGTAGCAAGCTTGAAATTAAACATTCATTCATTAAACTAGATTGTTGCTGAATACCTTCAGGGATAGAGGTGTACTTCTTTGACTCTTTACCCTTCCAGCATATGGAAAAAGCAGCAAATCCAAACCATGCCCCAGGATAACACTGCTAGAAGAAAACCTGTGATTTCTTCCTAAGGCCTGTTTTAAAGCATTTTGACACCATTCTGAAGATGCAGCCAGTCCAAGTCAGGGCTGCCACATCCCTGCCCACAACCTGAACAGAGATTCATCCTTCCTTTCTGCCCTGGCACCCTGCAGGCAGCAACTGCATCAGGAGGTGCACATTTTCTGCTAGAGGAGTGAGCTGAGCTCAGAAAGCAGATCAGCAGTGTCAGCAAAGCACACAGGCAAGGCAATGGCAGCTCTGAGGTTATTCAGACCATGCCGTTAAGCTCCTCTCCAACACAACCATACCCAAAGCCCATCATACCAGGCAGCATGAGGCTCCCAACCCTTCTTGCACTATAGCTGCAATGAAAACATTCAACAGGAGCACAGACAAAGTTCTAGTGACAAAGTCTAAAAATGGAATGAGGGAAAAACCCGAACTGTGTGGCAGAGCAATTACAGCCTATTTTTTCCACTCTCTCCCACAGTCCGGAAAGGTCAGCGAGTTGATGTTTACACAGATACATTTGGTGTGTTGATACGGCCCGAAGCAGTAAGTCCTTCAGCTGATCAATCTTCTCTTGGAGATTCTGCAGCGATGACCTGATAATCACATTGAGCTGAAGGGGAAGAGAAAAAAGCTTTTCAGTTGGAGTTACACTTGCATAAAATTTCATACTACTACGTTCAGGTGACAACACATTTAACTTCAGCTGTACTGGTGTGAAGGACTCCATTCCAAACCAAGAAAGCCTGACTTAGAGCCACAGGGGACCGGCACAGCCAACTGGTTTGGACTGCCTAGAAAATAATGAGATAAACAGTGCTGGTTTCACAAACACAATTCTAATGCATGAATGCTGTTTAGTATGGAGAGCTTTCTTTCAAGTCTTTATAAACACACTCCTTTGTATGGGCAAAACATTTCAGCACACTAATATTTTCCAGTTGGTTTTCCAGTTCTTTTCTCTGCAGCAGCTTCTCCTGCCACCAAGTTTCTTTCCCAGCTCCCCAATTAAAGGGAAGGTTGCCGCAGGTTCAGACATGCCCTCCACTGAACTCCTCCAAATTTTACACTGAAGATCCCACAAGAAATTCCGATTTCCGCCGTTTCCCTTCTCAGCAGCACCTGACCCCAGGCCCTTCCTCACAACTGACCTGCTCCACACTCGGATGCATCTGTTCTTACTAAAAAGATAGTTAAGTCATTCACATTGTTCCCTGCTGCAAGCAAACCCGAGGCTTGCAGAAATCTTCTTCCTCCTCTCTGCCCACCCATTCCCAATTTAGGCTGAAATAATCTTCTGTGTTTTTCCTCCTCAAATGTTATTTCTTTTCATTACAGTTATGTAGAACATACTAGGAAAACACACTGTAACTGCAATGAACTATGCAAGCAATCCTAATTAAGTCTTTATGTGCTTCTTGTTTACAAGACATCAGCCCTCAGACGCTCTGTGTGATGAACTGCTAACAGAGCAGGAATATCTCCTTTGACTCGCCCTCTTGAAGATGCAGAGGCAGCAGCCAGACACCAACATCTCCCCGAGCTGTCAGCGTGCTGCAAGGATCCATCAGCTGAACTGCACTGATACTGCACACGGCTGGAGCAGGAGAGCCTCAAACCCCTGACAACACCAGAATTTGAAATCCCTGACTCAGTGACACTTGTTCTCAGACACTGCCAAATATGATGACAGGAAGCAGACGCAACCACACTGAGACAGCCTCACGAGTACACAGCCAAGATCCAGGCCCAAAGCAGCTGAACACTACGGCAACGTTTCCAAAGCCAGCGTGAGGTGTAAACACTTTTAGGGCAGTTGGAGCCATGGTGTATCCTCTAGCTCTACAGGCAGGTAATAAAAGGTCTTCACATTTCACATGTACTCATGGCCAGGTGGAAAACAATGCGTTTAACAAACCCAGCACAGCAAAGCAACATCAAGGTGTATGTGTCTAACACACAGCCACCCACTACACCTCTGGCCAAAAACTGCAGTGTTCTAACTAAAGATTTTGCTTCCATTTGAGAAACAAAAGAAAAGGAAAGAAGAAACCAATGGGAGTTGCAAGATCAGCTCAACAAAGCAACTCACCACCAGTGAAGTGCTGCTGGAAATCTTCCCCTACAGGGTTTTGGTTTTTTTTCCATTTTAAATATTATCCTCTGTTTTTTGCTCAGCAGAAGGTGTTTTTGGCTATGCTCACAGCAAAATACTATGAAAAGAAAAACTTGTTTACATTCTCCCTACGGGGCAAATGTTGTACAAACACTTTTTCCTCCGTTAAAATATTCAGGAGTCACAGAACGTGACTGCTCAGCTGTGGGTTTCTCAACATGCATGTCTGTTATGAAAACAACCCTCTTATTGTTGGAAACTTGTTTACAGTAGAATCACACACTGGCAAATATTCATCTTTAACTGTTAATGGATTAAAGGCAAACCAGGCTCGGAAAACACAAGCATGGAACAAATGATTTTATGAAGAAATAAGTCAACCATGTAATGTTTCCATAAAACACAACCTCAGAGAGCTATGGTTTCAAACAGCCCTAATACAATATTTTGTCAGAGGGCTGGGGAACGCAGCACCAGCTGCAATGATGTAAATTGAGGACTTTGTGCCCTATGAACACAGACACATGAAACAACAAACATTTAATTAGTCTCCTTTCCTTGAGTGTATCTGTACAATATCTAATTACTTGGGCACCTCGAAAGCAGGGAGCTGAACCACCACCTCAAAACACTCCTCTCGATTCTACTGCTGGAGGAAATATTTCCCTCAAATTCCACCTATTTGGGCCTCCTGAAACCTCTTTTCACTTCATGCGAAATTAGGGCGTTATTAAAAAGCGGATTATTGGACAAGGTCTATGCAGTTTTCTTCAATGCATTTGCAAAGGAAATATTTCCAAAAGGATATTTGATGTTAAGAGCTATCAGCAGAGACTGGCAAAGATGAGTCAGTGATCATGCAGCATGCTACAACTCTGCTATAGAGAGGGACAGAGTCTACAAAATAAATCAGTGGGCTTTTAATTATGCAAATTATTACAGAAGACCAATTCAAGGGCTCACATGCCTTTTCCACTTAAGACAGTCTCAGGAGAAGTTAATGACATGATCCTCAGGGGGTGTGATCAAGTGGGCTCCTATGCTTCTGGAGGGGAAGAATGAGACTTTTAGTCCTAAAGAAAGCACACTCCTGAGAATCTTCTTATTTAATATTTTTTAATGGGAAGTGTGAAAAGCTGAAGACCATTGTATTTCTGGGTGAGCTCTAACATTTGCTTCTCGGTCATATTTAACTCCAAGCTTACATTTTGTTAGAAATGTAGCTTTTAAAAGCTGAAAAAATAATGTTTCATCTGATTTACAACCACTACAGAAAGGAAGCCAGCCAGCCTTGTGGGGAAAAAACTACCTATGCAATACCTACACAGAAGGGAGTACACAGAAGCTGATGTGCATCCCAACATCTCTTAGATTCAGAATGTCTGAAACAGTTCTGCTCCTGGCAACCACAGCCCTGACCCATCAGCCGTGCGTGCCCAACACTCCCACAGCTTTTCCTTCTCTCTTTCTGTGAAACCAGCATCACAGCATGCACAAAAGATTCATTAGCGTTAAACCCAAGATTACTGTTGTGACGCTGAAAAGCCACCTTTAATTTAGAAATTGTACTCTTGCTTCCTTTATGAAAATCTCAAAGGACATACCATTAATACTACGCTCCTGACACCAAACAGAACTTTTCATCTGAGGATTCCCAGCGAGCAGCAATATCGGGCACAGCCCAGGCCCTGGACCAAGCAGGCAGCAGAGCGTCCCCTTAGAATCATAGAATACTTAGGGTTGGAAAGGACCTTAAGATCATCCAGTTCCAACCCCCCTGCCATCGGCAGGGACACCTCACACTAAACCATCTCACCCAAGGCTTCGCCCAAGCTGGCCTTGAACACGGCCAGGGATGGAGCACTCACAACCTCCCTGGGCAACCCATTCCAGTGCCTCACCACCCTTACAGTAAAGAATTTCCTCCTTATATCCAATCTAAACTTCCCCTGTTTCAGTTTTAACCCGTTACCCCTTGTCCTATCACTACAGTTCCTAATGAATAGTCCCTCCCCAGCATCCCCATAAGCCCCCTTCAGATACTGGAAGGCTGCTATGAGGTCTCCACGCAGCTTTTCTTCTCCAGGCTGAACAGCCCCAACTTTCTCAGCCTGTCTCCATACTGGAGGTGCTCCAGTCCCCTGATCATCCTCGTGGCCTCTGGACTTGTTCCAACAGTTCCATGTCCTTTTTATGTTGAGGACACCAGAGCTGCACACAATACTCCAGGTGAGGTCTCACCCCTTTCTGCAACGCACCTTCCAGGCAGCACCAGCTCCCCTGTGGCGAGGGAAGGGTGAGTTCAGGACTGAGTCCCCTCAACACATCCAGCTCCTGCCAATGTAATGCTCGACCGGTACTGCACAGAATCATGGAATTATCTGGGCTGCAGGGACTAAAGCTCATCCAGTTTCCAACTCCCACCACGGGCAGGGACACCTTCCACTAGAGCACGTTGCTCCAAGGACGGGCCATGTAGAACAGCTAAAAGGAAAACCTGGGTAACAACGTGCTTTCACAAAGCCTGGAGCCGCCGGCAGAGGAGTACCTTGGCCGAGCTTTCCCCGTTCCTCTGGTAGCGGTTCCGCTCCTGGATTTTCTCAGCGACCTCCTGGGCGACCTGGCAAGTGGCATCGTACAGCAAGAGCCTGCGGGCGAGAGCGCCGCATGAGGCCCAGCCCCTGCCCGGCTTCTCTCTTCCCACCCCTAGCGCGGACCTCGGCCTTGCTCTGCCGGGCAGCCGCGTGGTGCGCCCCAGCGGGGGGAGAAGCCTCCAGCACACCGGGAGCTGCCCTGCAGAGGTGTGCCCCCCACCCGCCGCGCAGGGGCTGCCCTCGGCCCGCCGCGGCAGCCGCCACCGGGCGCTGCTCTCCCGGCACGGCGGCACCGGACGGCGGCAGCGGGGGTGCCGGGCCCGTCTCGCAGAGCACCCCCGGGAGCAGGCATCGGTGGGGGTGCAGAGGGCACAGACCCATCCCGCGGCCCGGCGCTCACCAGCGGTCCGGAGCCATCGCCGCCAGCACGGAAGAGCCCCGCGCTTCCGGATCGGGTCACGTGACAACGGCGCCCGCCGAGGCACAAATCTTTCCGAGCGCAGGCACCGGGCGAGGCATGGGGGTACATGGGCGGTGCGCGCGGGTCGCACAGAGGTGCACAGTGCATGTATGCAGAGGTGCAGGAGTGTAAGGTACATGGTGCACAGCGCGGGAGTGCAGAGGTGCGCGATGCAGATGTGCAGGATGCCGAGGTGCACGATGGAGAAGAGCAGGGTGCAGAGCTGCAGGTCCCATGGTACAGGGTTGATGGTGCAAAGGTGCTCGGTGGGAGCCATGGCTGTCCCCCGCCTTCTCCTGGCTCTCCCGCTGTTCCTGTCCAGGGGACCCCTCGCCCTGGCTGGTCCCAGCCGTGCCATGGCCCCACTGGGCTGTCCCCAGTGCTGCAGGCCCCAGTTGCAGCACTGGGGCTGCTGTGCAAGGCCAGGATGAGGGGCAGAGCCCTCACAAGCACCAACCCCTCGTTCCCAGATATCTCCTGCAGTGGCTGTATCTCCATGGCATCACCTTTAATCTACAGCCAGGGTCCCTTTGGGAACCTCTGGCATCTCCTGGGGGCTGACGGGACCCCTTGACCCGGGACCCCCTGACCCAGGACACGCTGCTGTACGGGCCTGGACAAGAGGCTGGAGCTGGACAGAGAACAAACAAGTGCTGGTCAGCGGGAACCAGCGCGGGGTTTGGGGATCCCCGGGAGCAGAGCGAGGGGCCATCGCCTTCCCTTCGGGGGCAGCACGGAGCAGAGCCACACATGAGCAGAGAGACAGGCTCCGGGTGCAGGCTGGGAGCCCCCCACAGGGACACAGCGCCCTGCTCCCCCCCACCCAGCGCCCTGGGGGCCCCCTGCCGACACCTCCTCGGGCTCAGGGCATGCTGCGAGCGGAGGGAGCGGAGGGGTGCCAGGACAGCGCTGCTCCCATCAGATCTGGGATGGGAGAGGAGGTGCTGCACCCAGAGAGGGGACCGTCCGCCCGGGAACCGCTCTTGCTTTGCATATGCTCCCAGGCCTCCGGTGCCAGCGGATGCTCAGGAGCGCCCTGTGGATGCAGGCAGACCCCACAGACCTGCAGGCAGGAGGTGAGGCAGGAATGAATGCCCAGGGGCTGCTGTTATCACAGGAGAAAAAAATAATGATCAAGGTTTTTAAGGAAAAAAAATCTTACAAATAAGGTGCTGGTAAAAATGCCCACTTTGAAGTGCAGCCTCAACTGTAAGCTCTCTAGGGAGCAAAGCCAGAGCAGCACAATGCTGCTGCAGCATCTCTCAGCTATTAGAGGGTACTTTTCCTTCAACTCAGCTCTTTTGTCTGGGAATACAAGGTACGGTTTGTAATTCTGCAATGTGTTTGGAGGCAAAGTCAAGTCAATCAATGACAACCATTTCAAAGTGGACAGATTTGAACACTGAAGCACCACAACTGCTCCTGCAACTATCCCATTTTGTGCTCCCGCTGAGCAGCGGAGTCCACCGGAGGCACAGGGTGCTGCGGGAGCACGTCTGCATCACCCCAAACATCCACTGGTGGTTTTGCCATGTGCTGCAACCACAGCCCTGGCACACCCATCCCCAGAAAGCATCCCTAAAGGCACACAAGGTGCTTGCAGAAGGGCATCATTTACTCCTCATTGCACCTCTCTTGGCTCCTGGCACTTGCTGCTCACGTACTTCTCTGTCCAATTTCCTCAGGACCATCCAGCGGGAAGCGGTTGCAAACCCAGTCGCTGTGTTGATGTTTTCTTGGTTCAAGGACAGGCGATTGCATCGGCCCCGGCCTTTGATGCACCCTTCCTGCCCCGTGACGCTGGCCAAGGGAGTGAACCCCAGGGTGAGAAAGCGGAGGTTATCCTTGCGGATAACAACTTATTAAGTTTAATGGCCATGTTGCTGGTTTGATGGCTATCTCATCCCACGGGGTGTTTACATCCCCTCCCCAGCCCGCCGTGAAGCTGAGGCAGATCAGGGTGACGCGGGCACCGCTCCACCCCTCGCTCTATTTACACCAAACAAGCACCCTGTGCCAGCGAGCTGGCGCCCACCTTAAAAGTGAGGGCAGGGGACGGGGACAGGGGACGCGGCAGCGGAAGCACCGGAGGCAGGGCCATGCTGCAGGTGGGGCTCAGCCTGCCCCGCTCTGCCGGGGGGGCGGAAGGCGGCTTCCCCACGGATGAGGGCGATAACACAGGCACCGGGGAAGGTGAGTGAGCTGCAGCCGGGCACAGCCGCACGTCTTGTGCTGGGGAAGGTGCAGGAGGCTCTCGCTGTCCCACGCATGCCAGGGCCACATCCCAGAGGAGAGGCACTGGAACAGACCCAGGTTTTCTTCTCCAACACCCCCAGTGTGTCCCAGAGAGGGCAGAGCTGGAGCCAGCTGTCTATACCCTGGGCTGGGCTTGGGTTGATGCTTCTCGGTACCTGCGGCCAGGGAGCATCTTCTTGATGCATCCAGCTGTGAGGCCAAGCTGAATCTGGGGACCACAGCAGTGCAAACAGCCCTGCTTTGACCCCAGTGTTTTAGCCTGGTTTCTGTGAGTAGAAGCCCACCTGACTGTATTCAGGGCTTGTCTGTCTTCAAAGCAGGGTCAGGCTGAGCAGCAACCGGTTGAAACTGCTGCCCTTGCCCTGAACTAGAACTGAACCTGATCTGCTGGTTTTGTCAATCTTGAGTAGAGGCCAAACTGAGTCTGAGAGCAGGAGCCAGAGCTGGACCCCCTCAACATGCCACCACATGCTGCCACACATGCAGCACATGTGGCTGGGACCGTGCTGTTTCCACATGTCCCTTTCAGGACAGGCAGAGAGTTCTGGTCAAACCCATGCTAGACTCCCCAGCCCAGCTGAACACATCCACAATAAATCCAGCACAGAACTGATGGGTGCACTAATCGACTTTATCCTTGATAGTTAATCACGGCCCAGCAGAACTTATCCACACAAACATAAGTCCTGGTACAGGGTTTAGAGCTCAGCTCTCTCACAACCCCAGGGAAAATGCTGCTCACTTTTCTCTAGGAGGAGCCCAAACTCCACTCTTCCCAGATCAGGGTTCATGGCTGCACAGTACAGGAGACCGGGATTCCATGCAGACCTTCTGTTTCCAAGGGGCTTCCCAGCTGCTCGCCAGTCCCTGGATGGGTCTCTCCAGGCCCATGGGGGCATGCGGGAAACAGGGACCCTTTGGCACCCTGCAGCCCATCTCACACCCCTGGGGACTCCTCTCACTGCAGCACCTTCTCTCCTGCACCTGAGCAGCCAGAGGTGTCAGGAGTCTTTGGCAGGAGGCAAAGGCCTGAGGCCGCTTTGCCTGCTTTGCCTGGTTACAGGTTACAGGATGGGAAGTCAGGAGCTTTTGAAGGGGTGCAAAGCCTCTCATAGTGTGGAGAAGCAGCTTTGACACCCAGCTGGTGCGTGGCCGCATGATTCCCTGAGCCTCTCAGACAGCAGTTTCACCAGGGCCTGAGCTGATGTGAGCAGGCAAGGGGAAAGGGAGCAGCTCCATGAAGGCAAAGCCTCCTGAAAACCTTCCCGTTGCACCGGGGATAACTTTTGAAGTACAAGGTGTGGCTGTAGGACCTGCCATCAGCCAGGGTGAAGTGCTGCCAGCTGGGGAGGTGAAGCGTGCTGAATAAACGGTCTTTGTCCTACAGAGATATTTGGCTCTTCACCAGTCACTGTTGTGATCACATCAGAGGCTGACACCTGGGACATCGACATCTCCTCTTGTCTGGGCTGTGGACAGTTTGTGGATTGGGACAGGATGCCAGAACCAGAGCAACAAACACACATCCCCCGAGACATCCTCAGCAAGTCCCCGAAGGAGCTGAAGAAGCTGGCAAGAGAAGGGTACTGGGCAGTGAGCCGAGCTCTCAGAGCTCAGGTCTACCACCAGCTCATACAGCAGGTCTCCTGCCGGCTTGTCACCCCAGATGCTCTTGTCTACAGGGACGTGGCGAGCCGGCTCTTTGGGAAGATGAGTATAAGCACCTACCCTCTGCCCGAGTTCCTAGAAGGATGCTCCATGCCCACATACTGCCTCAACCCAGAAGGCGTCACTGCCTTGAAGAAGATCCTCATCTGTGTTGGCAACCTTTTCCCTGACATAACCTACAGCCCAATCCTCCCCTCGCTGGTGGCTCTGCTGCTGCACTACAGTGAAGACGAAGCCCAGTGCTTTGAGGGTATCTCGCGCCTCATCGCCAGCAACTCTCCCCACACCAGCTACATTGACCAGTCTTTCCTGGCCCACCAGGCCTCCTGCATGACTTTTGGGGATCTGGCCAACAAGCACTGCCCAGCAGCCCACAAACTCATAGCCAGCACCTCTGAGAACGTCTTTGAGGTCTACTCTGAATGGTTATCATGGCTCTTTCACGACCTCCCCTTCAATTATGCCATCCGTGTCTTTGATGTCTACCTGCTGGAGGGGCAGAAGGTCCTGTACCGCATTGCCCTGGCCCTGCTGAAGCAGTACAGGCTCTCGGTGACCTCCACCGAGCTGGAGGGGACTGACATCAAGGCAGACCTGCAGGCTTTCGTGCAGAACATTGCTGAGCATGTGACTGTCGACAAACTTCTAGAGAGAGCCTTTGGCATCCGGCTGTTCTCCCGCAAGGAAATCTGGCTTCTCCAGATGGCCAACAGGAAGGCGTTAATGGAGAGGGGCATAACCATGGTGCAGAGCAGGTAAGAAGACCTCTCTGGTTGCCAGCTCTTAGGGCTAAGTAGACAAAACATGAGTTACAGTGGAGATACAACATGTGGGGAGCTTCAGGTATCTCTGGAAGCTTTGGCGATGCTGGGTGCCTCACAGCCCCTCGTGGGGGACCCTGTGAGGAGGCACTGCGCAGTCAGAACTAGCAATGTTAACAGAAAGCTCATGATGCAAAAAGCATGCACAGAGGCTGCACCCCCAAAACCCAACAGCACCCCAGCTTGGCAGTAATGCATGTCCTCCCTCACACAGGCAGTCCTTCCACCTGGCCATAGACATGCAGAACTTCAGCTCCAGCATTGTAACGGCTCAGGAGATGCGCATCATCTGGTCCTGGATCCCTGAGCGCTTCTCC